TCCAATCCCATTCTCACCCCCTCTGATTTATTGTTGTTCAGTGTTTTCATTTTTACTCTGCTACCTTTGTTTGTCTTGTTTTCACTGGTCCCTTAAGCTCCTGCTATGAGTGGAACCATTTGGTATTTTTCTTTTTCTTTCTGGCTTACTTCACTAGCCAAGCAGTCTAGTAACTGTACTATGTCTCAGGAGTGGGCCTGACCTGCCTCAGTAGCCCTGTCAGTCTCATATATCCACTGCGAATGATTCTCCCAAATCATGGTCTTGGCACCAACTTGCTGATGTGAGACAGATGCACCCTACAAGAAAAAGGCATGATTTTATCTGCTATATTCATACTTTCGGCAATTGAGAAAGCAAAGTAAGGTATGAGGCATAATCAAGATAAGGTATAAACTCTTGATATTATTATCCTTAAACTGTGACTCATATTATGGAAGATTCTACTAATAGTTGAGCTAAAAATGAAGAGGTCCTATGGTTATCGTGATAAGTATGAGGGTCTTCCCTGTGTGAGATACAGTGAGCATAATTGCCAAAACACAACATTGTCCCAGCTCTATGTAATCACCTTGGACTCTAGAAAAGGACCTATGCCAAAATGTACCTGAGGGTTTGTTTGTGTTAAGTTCTTACATAGGGAGTATAGAGATGCCAACTTTGTACTTGGTTGTGAGTGCTTCAGTGAAATAAAACCACGTTGTATTCATTAGAAATTGAAAGTAGGCTTCCCTCTTTTTAAAGTTAATATCTACATAATATTCAAGCTAAAAGGTGAAATGTTTCTGTGATACTAAAAGTTTAGCTGGATTTCTGGAAAAAACTCTTGTCAGCAATTTGGTGTTTCCTTGTTCTGGATTAGATGAAGATAGGCATTTATCTGGAATTATGCTAAGATGCAGATTTCTGGCCAAACATATTACACTTCTGCCTTTCTCTTGGATTAATTGTTCCTTACTGAGTCATAAATCTTTGTCTTCTGTGGATAATGTCTCGTGGAAGAAACTCCTGGCCCACCCTGGCCAGGAGGGTGGGACCAAAGGGGTGCCTGGGCTCCAGCCTGTGGTCCATGTGAACATCTCCAGTTCTTCTCACAAACTACTTCCTTTAATTTCTGGTAGCCAGTTCATTTCTTTTCCTAAGCAGTAAAAAATTTTTTTTCCAGTCAGAGGTGTCAGAGCATGCACTAACTGCTTCTGTTCCCGAGAACAATGATAAAATACATTCTTAAATCACAGGGAGATTAACCCGCGTTAAATTGATTCTACTTTAATACACCT